CCTCCTCCCTCCCTCCTTCCCCTCTGGTAACCACCAATCCAATCTCTGTCTCTATGTGTTTGTTTATTGTTGTTATTATCTACTACTTAAAGAAGGAAATCATACGGTATTTGACCTTCTCCCTCTGACTTATTTCACTTTGTATAATACCCTCAATGTCCATCTATGTTGTCACAAATGTCTGGATTTCATCGTTTCTTATGGCTGAATAGTATTCCATTGTGTATATATACCACATCTTCTTTATCCATTCGTCCCTTGATGGGCAGTTAGGTTGCTTCTAAGTCTCTGTCTTTGATTTTATTTTTATTATTATGTGTCTTAGAGAATATCACTTTGGGTTGAAATTTTGGGGTGACCTATTAGCTTCATGAACTTGGATGTCCAAATCTCTCCCCAGGTTTGGGAAGTCCTCAGCCACTATTTGAATAAGCTTTCTACCCCTTTCTTCTCTCACTCTTCTCCTTCTGAAACGCCAATGATGCATGCATTATTTCTCATTTTGTTCATTGAAATTCTCACTTTGTACTTGTGTTGTTTTCCTGATATCATTAAATTGTTTATCAATATTCTCTTGTAGCACTCTGAGCATCTTTACAACACTTATTTTGAATTCTTTGTTGTGCAACTCTTGGATGTCCATTTCTTTGTGGCCAGATACTGAAGTTTTACTATATTCCTTGGTGAAGTCATGTTTCCCTGATTCTTCTTGATTACTGTAGTCTTGCCTAGGTCCCTACACATTTTAAGAAGCAGTTACCTGTTCCAGATTTTATGAACTGACTTCAGTAATGGAAGCCCTTCACCTGCAGGTGGGGGCATTCAGGAGTGTGCTGGGACCCCATGTCTAGTGGTGCAGGGTACTAAGTTTGGAGGCCTGTTGAAGCACTAGGTCCCAGGATGTGCGATGTCTCTTCAGCTCAGGCCATTGGGGTCCACACCATCAACAACAGTGTGGTCCTTGGCAAACACTGGAGGTGTCCACAGTGGCTGCAAGGGTTGTTGGGGTCCACACCAGTGCCTCCAGGTCCCGTGGCTAGGGACCAGCGCAGGCAGCAGTGGGGTCAGAGCTTGTGGTGTGCACACACTTGGCTGCAGGGCCTAGTTGCCTGTTTAATGGCAGAGGCTGGTTGCAGACACTCATATAGTGGTGGGAGCCAGCACAGGCAGCTTGGGCTGGGGCCAACTTCAGGCTCACTGTTAGCTCTGGGGGCCCTAGCTGTCAGTGTGCTCTTCTGTGGAAGCACAGTCTTCCCCCAGGCATGCACACTGCAGTGGAGGCTGATGATGAGCATCAGGTTGGGGGCATGCAGGTGCACAGATGGAGTAGCTAGCCCTGAACATGCACACAGTGGTGGGGGTGGGGGGTGTGTCTAGGCTGGCATTTTGCATTCACACAGCTGCAGAGGCCTGAGCTGGCTGCCAGTGCCATTCCTTTCTCTGCTCAAGGTGGGGAGAGGGAGCAAGGAGCGACTCAGGTGGCTAGCATTTGTGCCCTGTGGGGCAAAAGCTGATGAAATATGCAGGGAATCCATGGCATCTGTGATGGCCATTGGTTTCGTTAGTGGCAAAATCTGCTGAGTTTGTCTGCAGAGCTGGTCTCTGTGATCTGCCATCACTCCTGCTTTGTAGCTGCTATTGATAGCCCCGGCTTTTCTTCTGGGTTCGTAGCTGTCTCTATAGGCCTCAGCTTTGCCAGTCTGGGTGGAGTAAAACCAAAGCAGGACCTTCACGTTGTGCCCTGAAAGGCTGGACAAGCTGGTTGCTCACTCCTCTCTTGTTTTCTGATGAGGGGAACTCTTTCTAGCTGGGAAGTTCCCTCTTGGCGCTGAACAATGCCAGCCTGGGGGATGGGATGATGCAGGCCAAATGAAGTTGTCTTCCTTCTCTTCTTATGCAATTATCTCAGCTTTTTTGTTCCACTGTGTTGCTAAAATTTCTTAAGTGGACTCTACTCTCCCAGAACTGTTTTTGTTTGTGGATAGCTGTCTAATTGCTGATCTTTGTTGAAGGAAGGAGAAGCTGGGTTCTCCTAATTGACATTTTGGTCTGTTCTATACATTATTGAAAGTAGAGTATTAAAGTCTCCTGCTACTGTTGTGTTGCTATCTATTTCTCCCTTAAATTCTGTCAGAGTTTGCTTTATATATTTAGGAGTTTTCTTTTCTTGTACTGTCCTTGCATGGTTTTGGTATAAGGCTAGTGCTGGCCACATAGAATGAGTTAGGAACTACTCCCTCTGCTTTTTTTTTTAATTACGGTAACATTGGTTTGTAACATTATATAAACTTCAGATGTACATCATTATATTTGGATTTCTGTATAGAGTACATCATGTTCACCACCAAAAGACTAATTACAATCCATCACCATACACATGTGCCTGATCGGCCCTTTTATGCCCCTCCCTACCCCCTTCCCCTCTGGTAACCACCAATCCAATCTCTGTCTCTATGTGATTGTTTGTTGTTATTTTTATCTTCTACATATGAGTGAGATCATATGGTATTTGACTTTCTCCCTCTGATATTTCGCTTAGCATAATACTCTCAAGGTCCATCCATGTTGTCACAAATGGCTGGATTTCACCCTTTCTTATGGCTGAGTAGTATTCTATTGCGTATATATACCATATCTTCTTTATCCATTCGTCCCTTGATGGGCACTTAGGTTGCTTCCATGTCTTGGCTATTGTGAATAATGCCGCAATGAACACAGGGGTGCATGTATGGTTACGCATTGGTGTTTTCCCGTTCTTTGGATAAATACCCAGCAATGGAATAGCTAGATCGTATGGTAATTCTATCCTTAATTTTTTGAGGAATCTCCATGCTGTTTTCCATAGTGGCTGCACGAGTTTGCACAACCACCAGCAGTGTATGAGAGTTCCCTTCTCTCCACATCCTCTCCAACACTTGTTGTTTCCTGTCTTGTTAATTATAGCCATTCTGACGGGCGTGAGGTGATATCTCATTGTAGTTTTGATTTGCACTTC